CCACATGGCAATATCTGTCCTGTTTCTTCAGTGATAATAGTGTTAGTAAAAGAATAATTAGAAGAATCACAACCAGATAAACTAGGCTTATGTAACGAACTATATCCTAAGGGTAGATGACAAAGTCACGCCTCCTTCATTTTTATTGCTAGAATAGAAATACTGATTTTAATATTAACACTTTCCTCTTTCTTCTTTTTTTTTAATGGATATTTCATAGCAACCTGTGGTAAAATTAAAAATGAAAGCTTTTTACGATTAATATGAGTATAAATATCAGAAAAATATTCAAGAAGAAAACATGCAGTTTTTTACGTCAAAGTTTTGATATTCTGAGAAGAATATTGATAGATTGTCCAAGATATAGTATGAACAAAGTTTTTCTTAAAGCCATCATCATTAAATTATAAGTAGTTAATATGCCATACTTCTTTAATTATTTGTTTTGCAATAAAATATTTTTCCGTATGATATCATAAAAGACTATAAAATATTTCTACAGGTGTGTCAGAGAATTTTGGTAATTCGACATTCATCATTTCTAAAATTTGATGATTATTGGATTGCTAATAAAATATATCTGAAAGAAATATCAAAGGTGCTTTAGTATAATTTTTTCAGTAAAATCTCTGAAAAATTACCCAAATTCGAAAACAAGATTTTATGTATGAATTAAAATTGCCAGCCTGAAAAAATAAAGCATAAAGATCAAGAACTAATGGAATTATATTATCTAATAAATCTTTAAGCATCAAGTATTCTGCATCTTTGCATGTAAATCCAAACTTTATTTTGACTATTTTTGCGATTTCTTGCCAGGCATTACGCAAGAATTCTAATAGTAAATTTATGCGCCATGGCTTTGGTTTTTGAGGAAGTTTTTTCTTTGTATCAAATATGTATTTATACATTTCAGAAAAGAATAGATGGTACTAGAGAAGTATTAATTCTTGACTATTCAGTGAAATATGTAAAGAACCTATCATTGGAAGGAATGATAAAACTTTATTAGTAATTCCAGAAGAGCTATCATGAACAAGATACCGTGATATAGCTGTTCTCAAGCATATTTGATCAGGCCAATCGGTGATAACTGGGATGACATTACCATTTTCAATATATCTATTTATTGTTAGAACAGATAAAGTAATATTAATAGCGTTAATATAATCTTCTATTATATGAAGGCCACTCTCAAACAGATCCACGAGTACAATATCCTTTATTGCTCTTACACTCCTTTTTTCTTTCAAATGAACATCATAACTATGGATTGTCAATTCCTTGAGCTTTGTTTCATCATTCACAAAACAAAATCCCCAATATCGATTATGAGTGAGTGAATATACTAACATAAAACGATTCTCAATTTCAGTTTTGAGTAATTGAGTATCAACTAATGTGAGGTGAGGTTGTGAATATCTAGTCTTGGAATCACCAGTTGAGTCTTGATTGGATTAAGCAAAATAATAACAAAATGTATTAGATTAGATATTTTGATTGTAGTCGGCATTTTTATAATGTGAATATTATAATAGTCATTGATATTTAAAAGTAGCATGCCATTAGAATTATCCTCAAGATTTTTTTCTATAGTTATTAGGTGCTTTTCAGATACAGAATCCTTATGATAAGTGATTAAACGAGATATCATTATCAAGCCTAATGTTGCTAAGGTGTCAATTGTCAAATCAGATGTTCTAGTAGAATCTAAATATATTTCTAAATCTCTTTTTACATTATTAACAAATTTATTTCTAATGCCATAAATAAAATAACATAAAAATACTAATTGTTTTGATACTTTTTCTATTGTATTTTGGCTTTTTTTCATTGGATTAGTTGATAAATATAATTCATCGAAAAAAGACTTCAACTATTGATTTTTTAATTCCATAACTGCATGAAATTCATCAAATTTCCAAATTAGTGACAACTCATTATGCTCTCTCTCATAAAGGACGTTTGTAATTATCTCTACAGCCTGTGAAAATGACAAAATAGTAGTTTCATTAGAAATTGCTGACTCAAAAGGAGAACATAAATCTAATGTATGCTGTTGAAATTCAGAAGATTTGTTAATAATGATTGTATTGTAACAAACTATGCATATAATATCATTTTCTTTAATATAACCAGGAAGTGTCTTATTATTTACTCCCTGAGACAGAACTAGTCTAGTAACAGTTCACCAAGTTGTAGATTTTCTCTTGCAAATTTGAATAGCACACGGTCCCTCAAGTTTCTTTTCTTTGCCCATTTCAAAAAGTTATTACTAAGTGAACATCTCTTAAATAAGATCTTATTAGAGATTATTTTTAAAGATAATATTCTGACACTTTAACGAAGAGACCTATGTAAAAATTAGCATTCTTTTAGTATGTAACACTTGATTTCTTAAAAAGTACTCTAAAGCATATAAATAAGTTACCCGAGTAATTGATTTATGTTAGCCAATCAGACGAACTTCTGTCTATGATGTCTCGTACTATTTATGTCGATTATTGAGCATCGGATGATCGCTCACCTATAAAATCATCTGTGCGTATATCGCCGATAATTGGCAATTCCTCATATGTACCACACGATTCTTGTTTGTTACTTAATTTAGATGTAGTATGCACCTATTTCGGAATAAATGGCACTTCGACTTTGCATCTCACGTTAAGTGTTGGAAACACCGCACTCCGTGCGTCTCAAACACATGTCACATCACAGGTAATACACGGTACGTCGCACGTAAAAAATCTGATTATCGGGATCGCAGTTACAAGAACGCGGTTTATAAATGCAGTTAAAATGTCTTACTACAAGACGAAATTAGTATTTTTAACTAAGCTTATTCGCATTTTGATAGGAACAGGCATGGAGTGCCATTTCTTCCGAAATAAGTCCCATTGCAACGCAATAATATCGATCTTTGGCTTGCTTCATAAATGATCCATCGGGTCGATAAAGCCATTTAATTACTGTGTGCTGGATTATTTTGACCGAGTTTATTCGTTTTTGATTCCATGAACGAAATGCTCGCTGAATAATTAATACAGCTTGTTTCTCACTATATGCTCGCCTTCTGGGACAATATTTTTGATGCATCCGAAATACACTAATTGGTCCTCTATACCAATATCCACATTTGATACATTGCCCATAAATTTCTTTTGTGGATCTGAATTTTCTTAGTACTTTAACAGGCACATAAATATATGTAGGAATATAATAAATTTTTTCTAAAAAATCTCGATTATATGCTAACATTGCTGAAAGCAGTCGTGACTATATATGAAAAAATATTTATGATAGGTATCCGGAAATGTAAGTGAGTTATATGTATGCATATTGTATATATCAAACGTGTGGATTTTATGTGTCTTTGACACTAGCTCCGCTATTAACTAAGGCTTTTTATTTAATAGATAATCAGGCCCAAAGGGCACCTCTACGAGGCATGGAGCTAACTGAAAAAAATATATATGGCAGATGGGTAGGCCGACTTGTTTTCCCTTTTTTCTCACAAGTTTGAAAAAAGATATATAGTTGACCGGTTAAAGATAGGGGTCCCATGGCACAGTCGTGGTATCCTCTCGGGCTTGCTTTGTAATAATACATCTTGATCATATCAAGACTCCGCTGATAACTACAAAAATCTGGCTTCAAGTGATGAAGTCACGAGAAGGCGGGGTAAATATAATTTATTAAACGAAAAATTAGTCACATGTCATCGCTCCCTCGAGGCTTATTATATCACCTATCCAGTTCAGCCCATTGGTAATATCGATCTTTGGCTTGCTTCATAAATGATCCATCGGGTCGATAAAGCTACTTAATTACTGCGTTTTGGACGATTTTGGCTGAATCTATTCGTCTTCGATGCCATGAACGAAATATCCGCTGAATAGTTAATACTGCTTGTTTTCTGGAACACGGATAACAATATTGATGATATCTTAATTGAGTATCAACTGAAAATCTATACGCACGTCGGCATTTAATACATCGCCTGTACGGATTTTTTGGAGATATATATTTTCTTAACACATTATGATCCTTTAGGAATTGTTCAAGGAAATTTTGAGTATATTCTTCCATTGTATCGTGATTATTATATTTTGCTTATATGTAATTAATTTTTCTTTTTTACTTTGCGACATCGCTTCGGGTGTATAACAGCCACAGTCTTATATATGTGCTTATCTTCTGATCCCGAACATGATGAGGAAGAATTACTTGAATCGCTTGAATCGCTATCCGAAATATCTGAGTTGGAAGAAGTATCCGAATTAGAAGTATTTAATCTGCGGGACAATGAAGAGACAAAGTCTCGAGTCTTTGACTCATCTTTCGATTTCCCAGGAAGTGATTTGTAAAAATCGTGAATAGACCTTTTATTAACATATACATTAACCCTTGGCTTCCTTTTAGCTTTGGCTGTGCCAACTTTCCAGCCGAGGTCCTTAATGCGTAAGGTGGTTCTTACCAAAGCATTTTCTGCATCTGTTACTATTTCCGGTAGATACGTCTGAAGCCCATCGTTATTGCGTCCATAGAACCAATTATTACCGAGCAGGATAAAATTAGGCGTTTGGGGGTCATATTTTTCTACAAGTACTTCAGTCGGGATTGTGATGGATTCATAATTACTAAGGCGATGATTTTTTATTACATTAGAAGTAAAGGTAAGTGGGATTACGGCCAATCCAAGTGGAGCTGTGGTTTCTTCTCTAACGAATTTACTATCTTTTTCTTTGGGAGTTAACTTTCTGCTAATTTTACCACCGATTTTCTTGAGGAGCTTATCGCTACACATAGACAAACCGAGAAATCCTGGTTCGAGGCGACAATTAACTTTTTGCTCCCCTACTTTAGCTTTAACTATCTTTACTTTCATGGTAAGTTATATTATGTGATATATATATATTCAACCGAAAAAATAACTGAGTTCGGATAATTAATTATCTGCCCTAAAGATCTGCCATGATTGATGTAATCATTGGCCAATGGCTCGAGCAAGACTATTTAATAAATTAATTCGTTCTGGATCAGTCAATTCTGATGATACTCTAATTGCAGAAATAAGATTTGTTATATTTAATGAATTGGTTAAAACTATCCCATTCTGTCTATTGGTAAAGATAACACTTTGAGTTACCCTTAATGGATCTGGAATAAGTGGGGGTAAATCAGAATCAGAGAATTCATCATCTGAATAATTAGGATATTCAATTTTAATTTTTGGATTGAGTTTTTTCATTACTTCTTCGCTAATCCCTTTACATCTCTTTAAATCAAGATATTTCAAATTAGTACAGTTGTGGACTATTTTCTCAACAGCTTCATTACTAATCAAACACTGATCAAGTTCAAGATGTCTAAGTTTTAGGCAAGAACGTATTATTTCAGTGATACATCGATTAGTAAGGCATTTACATAAATTAAGACTTAGGTGTATTAATTTCAGACAAAATCTCACAATTTCTATAATTGATATATTAGTGAACCCCTTACTTTTATCAAGAATAAGAGTGCGTATGTCTGGACATGAGCGTAAAATCATACTAATCAATATATCAAAGATTTTTAAACCTTCCAATCTGAGATATAATATCATTAAACAATAGAGAGGTTTTGTCTTTCCACACATAACTTTTTTGAATTTCAATAATCACCAATAAATAGTCTGAGATTTCTTTTAACTATACAGACCTCTCTGATAATCTTTATTGAAAAACTCAATGTGACGCCATAGAATAGGAGTACTGCAATGATATCAAAGATGGTTAACAAATAAAGCAGGATAGAGGGTCTGTTCGATTTCTAAAAAATATAAGATTTGTTCTAGTAATTCAGATAAATCAAAAATATTTAGACTTTTTGGATCATTGCTCTGTAATAGTTATGCCATTCTTAAATTATATATTATATATCTTTAATCAAAAAAAACAGCTAATGTTCAAATAATTAATTTTAGATGTATATACTATGGATTTTCTAGATATTCTTAATTACACTTAACCTCATAACTAATTTTATTGAAGAATGTAAGAGTTTTATTTGAGAAGTCCACCTTTATTGCATTTTCCTGAAACTATGACTGATCTAATATCAGTACTGATTTAAGTTCAGGGCTATTAATAACAAAAATATTGGTAACTTTTACTCACTCCCATTTATGATCTTTCAACAGGATTGAAATATCTATTTCGCAAATTTCTCCTACTACATTAAGCTTGCTAATGGGATTATATATTTCTGCATCAGAGATATTATTATTATTGATTTTCAAATCTACTCCATTTACTAAGCTCTTACTTATAACATTGCAATTAGTACTAGAATCTAATATAGCTGTAACTGGTACTTTATTGATTTTGCAGGATAAAGTTATCATTATAGTTCTATTTTTAATAATATATATTTAATAATGTATTTTTTCCAGCATATTAATAAATAATAGCAAAGCTAGTGTCAAGACACATATTATGATATTGACAATGACTAAACCTACTACCAATTCAGATACTAACTGGTCAATTATAACCAAAGAATTTGCTAAAAAATTGGAAGTGGGTGTTATTGGGAGTTTTCACAAATCTCAGAATAATAATAGTGTGGTATTCGGTATTGTTAAGCAAGTATCAGGTAAAAAAATTTTGATTTCTCTTGGCCAATTACTGGAGATACTGAAATCAGAGATTTAGCAAGAAATTATAAACTCAATAACAAATCCAGATATTTCTCAATATAATCACATTTCATGTGAAGCTAAAAGATGATACAAGAAGCTTATTTTCAAAAATATCACATCTGAGTCTGGGTCTGGCTCTGAATCGTCTAGTGATAGAGAGGGTGAAATTAGAGTGAATAGGATAAAAGTAAAGAAGTGCAATTAGTCTTCATCATCAGAAACTTCCCCATATAGATCAATGATATCTGATACTTCATAGTATTCTTGTTTAATCATAAGGATGATTGGCCTAGATGCTGGAATAATTGGCCTATTATTCATCATACTATAATGTCATACTGTAGCTCTATATTCTTTTTTATGACATGTTGCTAAATCTCGATACCTTTGGTGACAAGAATCATTTTTGTCACCATGGACTCTTGATGCATGATCAGTACCTATTTTTCTTAAATGATATGAGGTAATACCATGAGAAGCTAGAAATCGATTAAGTGGATAAACTTTTACATAACCATTTTCACCTTTTAACAGAAATGGAAAAGTCTTTGGAATTGCCTTCTGGATCTAGGTGAGCAGTTCTATTGCTCTTTTTGGATCCCTTTCCATTGAAAAAAATGGTAAAGATTCATCAATTTGACTTTTGGTGTAGCCAGTGCAATACCAAGAATATTTAGGATCATACCATTTTTCATAGCTTGGTAGATAGTGATTAATACGAAGAGTTGTAATATCTGCTAGTCTCATAGATAACATTACCATTATATTGATCAAATTTTGCATGGAAGGAGATTTGGTAATATCACAATTACTAAGTCTATCCTGAACATTCTCTGAGTAAAAGAATTTAGAGCAATCTATACCTTTGTCTTTATTAAGTTCGTGATGCTCATTCTGTTTTTTTTGTGATTCTTTGATAATCTGAAGTATGCTTATTGATTCTAATATAGGATTATTAGCATCCAGAATTTCTAATTCTTTTTGAAGATATGTAAGGTGTGAGATACCAGCAACAACATTTGGAGTAGTATTAACCAAATCATTTGCTATCTCATTTATCTTTTCAGGTGAGAAATCATTTTTCATAATATTTTCTGCTATGACTTTGATAGGGTCTCTTCCAACTACATGTCATCTGGATATCTGTTTAGGAATAAGAGTATATATCTGCTCTTCACTAAGATTCAATTCCTAAAAGCATCTTCTAGCTTGATCTTTGGCTCTTCTCACCTGCTCTTTTGTCTTACTATCTGAGAGTTTACTGGCTAACTCTTCAACATAATTACTAAGCTGAAATAAGCTAGTTTGGGGTAATAATTTGTAATGATTGTAAAATTCTATAGCAATTTTTGTCATGAATAATAAAGTTGATTAATATATTTTTATACTATAAATATTTTGGATTTATACTATAAATATCTCAGGTATATACTATAGAGATTCTTTTTTCAAATCAAAATTAATTATCTCGGGTTGGTATATCCAAAAATTGAATGGGTCCTGATTAATGTAATTCTATCAGAAAATGGACACGAGTAAGGCACGGAATAGATCAAAGATTTTAGAATCTATAACTCTACGTAATAAAATTAATGAGAATATCAATGAAATCAAAGAAAATATAGCATTACTCAAAGAGATCCTGGAAAAAATTATTCATATATATCAAGCATATGATTATACTTCATGTCTAGAATCAAATAAGTTGGATATATGATTTTCAAGTATAATAATTTTTGCACGTAATTCATTCTGCTTTTTTTATTGATAATATTCTCTTTTTCAATACTTACTCACATGATTCCAGTATATACCATATGTAGAATATGTTAGCTTATAATAGCTATATTCTTTACAAGGAATCCATATCAGAGAATTTTGATGATGTTTATATCCTTCTGGTTGATTACAATCTCGACTACAGACTTCGCCAGTTCTAAAAATATAAGGACAACGATAAGATTCCAGTTCCATATTTATTGCAATAATAATTGTATAGAATAATTAATTTCATTTTAAAGTTTTTTGGGTTAAGTATAATACTTTTAGTTTATACCTATATACTTTATATACAAATCAATAAAATGAATTTATCTAGTGAAGCTAAAAAGTATCTATGTGAATCATTAGAACAACAGCATCTAAATCAAAAATTGGCTGAATATAATGAAGCAAAAAAGTTTCTCATAGGTTTAACGGATCTTGACTATGAACCTGGTCATGGAGAACATATGTATTATAAATACTGGCTTGCATCCAATGATCATGCTAGCTTGGCTAATAAAAATGATATAGCACTTTTAGATGCATATTAACCTGAAAAAATTCATTCTCAATATATAATTCGGGTGACAGGAAAAGGTTATATAGTGATCGATCATCCTACCAAAGTTTATAGAATGTCAAATACACATGAATGTATTAATAGAAATCAGCCTCTTTGTTTAATAATCAATATTGATGCAAGGCAAAAGCCTGACCATCTAATTTCAAACTTCCTTCTCTAGATAGTAAGAAAATTACTCGTAGAGATTTGATGTCTCAAATTTTAGTTACTTGTGCAGATGCATTAAGCCTGATACCAGATTGTATACCTTTCTTAAATTCTTTTGCATTAGCAAGTTCGTCAAATGCTAATAAATGCAGTTGGCATATTATTTATCCTCATGTCCAATTCATAGATTATAGAGAACTTAAGAGTTTTACAGAAAAAGTTATAGAATTAGTTGGGAAACCTTATTTGGAGTTCATTGATATTGGTCTTCCCAAAAAACATTTCAATCTTTAGTTATTTGGATCAGCAAAAGAAGGACACATAAAAAGATCTGCTATCTCTTCCATAAAAAATGATTTTCAAAAGCTAGAGGATTATTTAGTTCAGCCTAAAGATAATTATTCCGTGATCTGGTCATGAATCTTTTCTGATGAGAAGCCAGTAGAAGAGGAATATCAACCTATCAAAGATGAAAATGTCTTAGTTAAAGAAGCCAATCTAGTTATTACAAAATATGGGTAGCTACAGATTAGAAGAACTAGAAAGGGTTTATCAGCTTTGAATCACAATCAGTTAAAGAATGCTCTATATATGATATTAAACACGAAAAAGATCAACTTTATGGATTTATTTGACAAAATAGATATTTTATACTTAAGTGCTATTGAGGGAAACAATATAAGTCAGATCATAAGAGTCTTAGCTTTGA